CATAAAAAATATCAATTGTTTTTTGTCTTAAAGGAAAGCATCAGATGAAGATATAGAAAAGTTATGTAATAATATTTTAGATGTATTTCATCAACCAGAAAAATAACAGAATGTACCAATTTACTACGACAGTTATATTTTATACTACAGGTTTCAGACCATCCTATGAGGTAATGATAATTTTGCTGCCATTTTTGGAGGATCTATGTCAGCTTTGTTTTGTGATAAGTCTTAAAGCTGAAACAGCAGCATTACAGTCTTAAGAACAGTTTTCAAACTAACATGCATCATGACTTCAAGAAAAATTGACAATTATTTTACAGGAATAATGAGAGAATGACAAACTTTCACATGCCAACCTAGATAAGAATCCATGGCCACAATTTGTTTGATGTATGCTCTCCAGTTTTAACTTTTACATTGTAAATAACTAAAACATGTTAAACGAAACTCGAAATCCAAAACAATATTTTGTCGAACAACAAATATACTAAACTATACTAATAAATATTTCAGTTTACCGAAGAAGCTACTAGAGAATCTGATTACCTCAGTTGGGTTGATGAATGAAAGAAATCTAAAACAATGTTTAATTTGTCAGAGAATAGTAAAAGAAGTTATGCCCCTTGACGCTGAGAATATGTCTGAGTTATTACAACCTGAATCAGGCAGTTCCGTTACTAAAAATCTCTTTCCTCTTTACATAGCTCAGGTAGGTTTGATATTGTAATATTAGTAACCCTCCATCTATAGGTGCAGATTCCTCGGATGCTCAGAGAATATTTCTTTCTTCCTTGACTCCTTTATTAAATATCTTGATAAGTCACTGTCAGACAAGCTTGTCGTTAGGTGAGTTTGTGACACAATATGCCTTAGTTCAATGGTGAATATGTTTAATAATTTGAGAATATATATTTAAGGGTAAAAGATATGGTTGTATTAAATCAGTTCTATCTTCAGCAATGAGGTAAATAATATTCATTTTATCACAAATATAAAGTCAAAAGAAACCCTCCCTGTACATTAAGGCATTTATTATAGGTATACATACACCTCATTATATGACCCAAGTGACATCAAATTTCTAACCACAGGCCCTGTTTTCGCATGTTGCACAATATAACAGAGATTTGTTTTATACTACACTTTAATCCTTCAATGTATTTATTTTTTCATTATATTTCAGATGGCTGGGTAATCAAGACTTAGATTTTGAAAGTCAGCGACAAAGTTTTGTATTTTTAGTAGCTGTGTCTATTTTACATACTAGTTCTCTGAATACAGGTATGTTTTTACTACCTTGCATGAATGTGGAAGGGGGGGACAAATGCCAGACATGCCAGTGTTGCAGTTTGGAAGCATGATGTGAGTTCTCTCTTCGTGAGGAAGGCTTGCAGTCATGAGAAATTATTCCCTTTGATTGATCCTTCACTTGCTTATAGTTGTATGATCCACCAGCAAAGCTCTGACAAAGTGAAGGTTTAAAAGCATTTAGTCATTTTTATGTTTCAAGTGGTGCATTAAAAACAAGACCCAAAACAACATGGTGTAGGTTGAACACATTTTCTGTTATGTAATCTGTACAAAAGTTAAGAATCATATGTCATCTTGTTTTGGAATGTATTTGAATGTACCGGTACTAATTCTAAATATATTGACTCAATATTGCCTATTTCTTAATATCTCATAAGTATTGTTAAATCTTTTATTTAGAATATATAGAAACTCACAATGGTTATTGAATGCTAGAGTACATACAATGTTTTAATATTTGTTGTAGAATATATAGAAACTACAAGTTCTAAGATATCACAATGGTTATTAAATGCTAGTATACAACAAGCACCCAATCCCTATACTATTAATCCATTCCGGAAAGATCAAACTAATATAGTCAACGAAATAGATGGTACACCAAGTCAGAACTTCTTTACTTTTTTAAATATAGGTAAGTATTTTAGAGTTTATATAAACGAGTGGAGGTTAGCACAGGCATTCTATTTAAATCAGCCCACAAAGGTGCAGGAAAGTAAAAAGTAACATTCTATTTCACTTCACTTTGGACCTCTTATTAAAACTAATTAGAAATATTTGAATGAAAATGTCAAGAGGTCTTAAGCCTGGCCTTTACATCTTGTCATCAATAGTACAGCAATTATTCCAGATTAACTGGAGGGTAAGGAGAGGTGCATATTATACATGCTTGCATATCTTTACATCTTGTCATCAATAGTATAGCAATTATTCCAGATTAACTGGAGGGTAAGGAGAGGTGCATATTATACATGCTTGCATATCTTTACATCTTGTCATCAATAGTATAGCAATTATTCCAGATTAACTGGAGGGTAAGGAGAGGTGCATATTATACATGCTTGCATATCTTTACATCTTGTCATCAATAGTATAGCAATTATTCCAGATTAACTGGAGGGTAAGGAGAGGTACATATTATACATGCTTGCATATCTTTACATCTTGTCATCAATAGTATAGCAATTATTCCAGATTTACTGGAGGGTAAGGAGAGGTGCATATTATACATGCTTGCATATCTTTACATCTTGTCATCAATAGTACAGCAATTATTCCAGATTAACTGGAGGGTAAGTAGAGGTGCATATTATACATGCTTGCATATCTTTACATCTTGTCATCAATAGTATAGCAATTATTCCAGATTTACTGGAGGGTAAGGAGAGGTGCATATTATACATGCTTGCATATCTTTACATCTTGTCATCAATAGTATAGCAATTATTCCAGATTAACTGGAGGGTAAGGAGAGGTGCATATTATACATGCTTGCATATCTTTACATCTTGTCATCAATAGTATAGCAATTATTCCAGATTTACTGGAGGGTAAGGAGAGGTGCATATTATACATGCTTGCATATCTTTACATCTTGTCATCAATAGTATAGCAATTATTCCAGATTAACTGGAGGGTAAGGAGAGGTGCATATTATACATGCTTGCATATCTTTACATCTTGTCATCAATAGTATAGCAATTATTCCAGATTAACTAGAGGGTAAGGAGAGGTGCATATTATATTTGCAATTATACAGTATACAAGATTATTTGAATTATAAATTTCAGGCCAATATTACACTGAAGATCAGTTTCTGAATATCCACTCATTCTCCATGTTATATAAATGGCTGTATCATTGTCACAAACAACTGACATCTGACACTACTGTCACTAACAATGGCAGTGACATGTCACCAACTGACAGATGTAAACAAGTGTTTGGTAATCTGGCCAGTAAAACAGTGGAATATTGTTTTAGATTACTTGACCAATGTGAAAGAAGTAAGTTGGTGTTTTGGCTTTCTGACCAAAAATAATTTTTTCCCAGAGAGACAATGGCTCACTGTTGATTTGGAAGCAGTGCCCCACTTTTTGTTGTGTGAATTAGTGTCCTGACCAAATTGTCATGGTCTATCTTCTTTTGAAAAAACATAAAGAAAACAACTAAGATAACAACCCACGACCACCATTATATTATGTTTACACTGATGTTGACTCTTTTGCTCTCTACAGCCCTTCTGTTAGTCATAAAGTTTCAGAATCGTATAATGTATAACACCCAATTAACTTGGCGCTGTTGCTTTTTTTTTTGACAGAACCAAAGGTGGCAACAGATGCAGAAATACAGATAGCAGTAAGTTAATTAGGTTTTAAAAAATGAACGTGGAAATTGCCAGATAATGCACATTAGCTAAAAGAATTGTGTAGAAGTTACCTTATGGTTTTATGTGTAGTAGAGACACGGATAGCATCTACTCTCATCATCCCAAATTTAAGTCAGATGTTTGTAGATCTTGTACATAGTCTGTAGATCTGCCCTTGACTATATTTTTTTTCATTTTTATTTTCTAGTGTTTGTATGAAACAGTGACTATATTAGATTTAATCTGTTCTATAGAAGCTAACTATATACCTAAAGTACATCAGGAAATAAAACGATTATATACACGTTTATCTCATGATGTTACAGCCTTCCCTGTTATTATACAGATATTACAGTTCTTTATCAATCACAGTAAGTATATACAATGTTACAGCCTTCCCTGTTATTATACAGTTATTACAGTTCTTTATCAATCACAGTAAGTATATACAATGTCACAGCTTTCCCTGTTATTATACAGATATTACAGTTCTTTATCAATCACAGTAAGTATATACAATGTTACAGCCTTCCCTGTTATTATACAGATATTACAGTTCTTTATCAATCACAGTAAGTATATACAATGTTACAGCTTTCACTGTTATTATACAGATATTACAGTTCTTTATCAATCACAGTAAGTATATACAATGTTACAGCTTTCACTGTTATTATACAGATATTACAGTTCTTTATCAATCACAGTAAGTATATACAATGTTACAGCCTTCCCTGTTATTATACAGATATTACAGTTCTTTATCAATCACAGTAAGTATATACAATGTTACAGCCTTCCCTGTTATTATACAGATATTACAGTTCTTTATCAATCACAGTAAGTATATACAATGTTACAGCCTTCCCTGTTATTATACAGATATTACAGTTCTTTATCAATCACAGTAAGTATATACAATGTTACAGTCTTCCCTGTTATTATATAGATATTACAGTTCTTTATCAATCACAGAAAGTATATACAATGTTACAGTCTTCCCTGTTATTATATAGATATTACAGTTCTTTATCAATCACAGAAAGTATATACAATGTTACAGCCTTCCCTGTTATTATACAGATATTACAGTTCTTTATCAATCACAGTAAGTATATACAATGTTACAGCCTTCCCTGTTATTATATAGATATTACAGTTCTTTATCAATCACAGTAAGTATATACAATGTTACAGTCTTCCCTGTTATTATATAGATATTACAGTTCTTTATCAATCACAGTAAGTCAATATCATATAATATTGTATACATTATATATTAATAGAAAAACGAAAAATAGGACTTTACATATTGAGTAAGATTCATGGCCATATCCCAGTTGTGAACTTGGTAGGTTAGTTTCTAAATAGTGGGAGAGCTCAGTCAGTAGCTGGTTGGATTGATGTCTGTTAAAATGTTTAAATACAAAATTGAGTGAAAAGAGGATAATTCATTGTTTTGTTTCTAATATTTGCATGAATTTTGATATGAAGTTATTAAGTGAAATAGTCACATGATATTTTGTTGCAGGTAGTGCAGTGGTCCATGATCCACAAGAAACGTATCAACATGTGTTTACAGAGATATTATCCCAGCATTATACAGATCAAGGCTTAATGTTTGATATAGTTAATTTTATTATGGATAATCTAGATACGTTATGTTATAAAACATCTATTTTATCAACATACTTCCCTAATATTTTCAAGGTAAGTTATTTCTTACATGTCACTCTTCTACCTGTTGGTCAGCTTTTACACTTACTCAATATTTTCGAGCATAAATGACAAGAAAAAAGCATTCTTAAACTTATGAAATTGATTATGTTCCTTCTTTGTATTATCTTGGTAGTTTTATCAACCTACCAAATTGCCAGGTTTCGTAGAAGTAATTACCAGTCTCTAAAATATTTGGCAGTGATGTTTTCTTGAGGGTCATTCTAATGAGGTTAATTTCAGATAGCCATAATTAGCATGTTTTTTTTTTTTTATTT